GGGAGGGCACAGGAGGGAGGGTGCTACTCCACCCACAGTAAGAATGGTCAGCCCCAAATAAGGCAGCACTCTGGCCCTAGTTGTCTGTCTGGATGCCCAGCAGGGATGCTGATGAGGGACAATCCAGGGATTCTGCTGGTGCCTCCACACATCCATCACTTTGAGTGGGAGGGTCATCTTCCCTGGCTCTCACCCTGGCATCCCCTGCCACATAGAGGGTAAGGGAGAAAGATTAGGGAATTGGTCCTAGTGGGGGGGGGTGTGAAGGCAGAGACAAGCCGATATGGAACTGGTTCATGGCTAAAAGGCATCTCCAAATGAGCATCTCCCACAGGTTCATAATTCTCAGAAGCCCTGAGACAGGTATACCCAGCTGAATGCTTGGAGACCTCCAAGTCTCCACCCTCTCCCTCTTCGGCACCAACTTGCCAGCAGGTTCCCCAAGGGTTAACTGTCCCCAGCAAGAGTGCCAGTCAATTGCTATCAGCTGGCAGTAACAAGCTGGGCCAGACCCAGAGCCACAGACAGACAAACTGCCAATGTTTCCCACAGTTCTTTCCGCTGTCTACCCCGCCTCAGGCTATTTGCCTAGCAACCAGCTCTCATCCCTCACACACCTCAGCAGACCTGGAGCCAGGGGAGGCGTTCACCAGACTTCACTCTCTACCAAAGCAGAGCCAAAATAAATACCTGATAAATAAGGCCCATGAATGGCTCGGTGAATGCCCTGGAAATGGCGAGACTGGGGAAGGCTCACTCCTATGCTATGGTGACTGGATGCTGACCCCATGGAGAGTCTTGAGGACCGAGCAGAAGGCCCAGGTCTGGAGGCCAGGGGGCCAATACTCACTATGGTGCTGAAGCTGGGAGCCCCAGAACCACAGAGCAGGCCCAGCTTGGCAGAATGAGGCTTCCCTGAGGTTCTCTGTGCATCCCCATCCCTCCCCCCTTGCTCTACTCTCTGCAGTCAATCAGTTCCCAAAAGACACATTTTCTCCTGGGACACTTGTTCATTAGTTTAACGTTGGGCAAAGGTCCTCAGAGGCTCAGAAAACTGAGGGTCATAAAGCCAATCGTGATTGGCTCTGAACAAGCACTCTATTTGGGTAGTTTTGTTGAGACAGGGCCTCATGTCTCCTAGGCTGGCCTCGAACTTGCTGTGTAGTTAAAATTCGCCTTAAAGTCCTGATCCTCTCGTCCCTATTTCTGGAGTACTCAGACTCCTACACGTGTGCCTGGCTCTAAACTTGGGGTTTTCAAATATTTAACTCATTACAACCAACACATGGAGACAGCGCTTTGGGGGCTAAGTCAACCGTGTGACGGGCCTTCTGCTGGTTTGCATGTCACCCTCCTCACTGCAGGCAGGGCTCCCTCACTCCTTGGGTTTGTGAGTAGTACATGTTCCTATTCTGAGGCCGAAAAAGAGGAAGTGAGCAGAACAGCCAACCACACGAGCCCCAGTTTTCCCACCTCGTCCTCCATGAGGCTGGTCAAAGGGCGGATTTGTATCAAGCTGTGCACCCTTCCCAGGTGTTCATGGGAAAGAACGCTCTGCTCTCTAGACTTGTTTCCAGGACCCCCGGGCATGGTGGTGATCGCCCAGCTCTCTAAGTCAGAAAACTCCTGGACCCCTAGGCTCCTCCCTCACTCTAGAGGCCTCGTGCAGCAATCAACCTTCTCCAGCATGTTAATCAACCTTCTCCAGCATGTTTATCTCCCCTGCTGTGCTCACTGCGGCCAGGTTCAAATAATTTTCCCAGGTGGGTTCTCTACCCCTACCTATTCCCTCCTTCCTGCTGCAGCATCTCTCAAAGTCTCGCTCCTTCCAGGCCTACAGCCTTCAGAAGCTGACCCTGTCTCCCTCATGCCTCATGACCACACATGTTAGACAGGCCAAGCACACACCCCCCCCTCAGAGTGCCCGGTCCATTCCTCTGGGCTGTGTTCGCAAGCCTCTCTAGGCCTGCAGAGCCCAGCCTGACATCACCGCCTCAATCCTGAAGCTTACCTAGAACCTGGCACCCAAAGTCAGCCAGTCACACCAGCTACGAGAGTCTGGAGAACCCAGGCTGAGGTGGGACCTTTCCTAAGACCATCTAGAAGGCAGGAAGCTGTGGTCTGGGGGCAATATGATATGAGGCCTCTGATCCCCTCACTGGACTCTATGCAGGCTCCTACTTTTGACATGCCCAGACCTCCAGACAATTTCCTATCGTGTGCCAACCTCCGACCTGAGATGGGCATCTATAAGGCACCATCATCTTCCTCTGTATGCTCCATGGCCAACTGAATCAGACCTGTTCCCACGGTTTCTACCCTGTGTGTACCCTTACCAGCAAGCATTTGGGCCCCTTGCCCCAAAGACACTTACTCATCTGTACAAAGCTTTGGTGCTAAGCCACATATTAGTGTTGGAGGGTAAACTGAACCTCCTCTCCCAAAACTTGATGTTCTGTCCCCCAGGACCTCAGAATGTGACTGCATTTAGAGAAAGTCTTGACAGATCTAATTAAATTAAAATAAGGTCATTAAGAATGTATCTGATGCAGTGCCTGGGAGGCTACAAGAGGACATTGGATTCTCCGGAACTGGAGTTACAGACAATTGGTGGCTGCCATTAGGGTGCTGGGAATTGAACCTGGTTCTCCTGGACCAACAACCACCAAGGCAAAAAAAAAAAAAAAAAAAAAAGAATGTATCTGAATGCCATGATTGCTGTCCTTGTATGAAAAAAAAAAAAAAAAAAAAACACTTGGACACAGGTACTTGGAGAGAGGAGCAAGTGAAGGCAGAAGCCACCCATAGGCAGAGGAGAAGAGAGCGGCCACAGAAGAAATGGACCCTGCAGATATGGCTTCATCTTGAACTCGTCACCTACAGACTATGAGACACTAAATTGCTGTTGTTTAAGCCACCACATCTGTGGTACTTTGCCGCGCTGACTTTAACAAACTACATACAGCAAGGCGTAATTTCCTAACGAGTGGCAGCAGGCCATTCTTCTCAAACCCCCACTGTAGAGGTTACTACCATCCCAGGCAGGTGGAGGCGCTTAGATTTAGCACTAAAAGGGGCAGATGTGTCATGTAACAACCCTTGGAAATGGACTCCTTTGGGTTTCCAATCCTAAGGATCCACGGGCCCCACCCGAGGAGTGAAGCTGCAGGCACGGAACTTGTTTTTAAGTGAGCCAGGTGGTTCTCAGGACTAGATGCATTTGAGAAACCATAGCCAGGCCAGCCGCCACCCGGAGGCGGGTTTATCCCTGGACTGCGAGTGTGCATAAGGCCTCCGCATCCCCAGGGCATAGGGAAGAAGAGGCCAGTGGTCCAGAGCAGCGTCCGGGACAGGCACCTCTAGCCCGGCCGGGCACTCCTACCAGTCCTCGGTTGAAGGCAACCAGAACTTGCTGCTCCTATCGCTGCTGTGTGCGTCCATCTATGTGCCACGCCCTGCGCGAGATCTTTAAATCAACAAGCGAGTGGAAGAAGCGCCTTCTGTTTCCAGTAACTTTACGGAGTTCTGGACGCCCTGTTTTTCACTCCTGGGTGGGCCCCCGACTCACCCGCCCCCGACTCTTCTCTGAGACCACCAAATCCTCACATGAAGCCCCGGCTGTGCGCCCCATCTCCCCCTCCGAAGCCCACAACCCTCCACCCGACCCAGCTCACCCAGGCCGGCAGGTGCTGGCCCCGCAGCTCGCGGCTGATGAACTCGCGCTCGTGCTCTTGGTATTCGAAGGCGGCCTCCAGGCGCCCCAGCTTCCCGCGGCGGTTCCGGCGCCACCACATCCAGATGAAGGCGCCAAGGAGCAGCCAGGTGACGCTGAGCCCCAGGTAGCCTGCCAGGTAGACGGGTGCCAGGTAGAAGAGCACGCGTGCCACCAAGCCGTAAAGCTCCGGAAGCAGCTGACCCGACAGGCGCAGCTCCGGGTTCCGTGCGCGCTGACTTCTCTGCGGGTCGTCGGGGCTGCGGGGTGCGCTAGGGGCGCACGGCTCCTCCGCCTGCATCTCTCTGTCGCCCTCTTGCCTTCTCCTGAAGCTTCACCCCAGCTCAGGTTGGAGCACCCCTATGCTTGGGCACATCTGTCCTCAAAGCAGGTCTCCGCTGCGCTCCGCTCCTGCTCCACCAGCCTCTCCGCGCCCGGAGCTCAGGTTCTCCCCACCCCTGGGCTGCGGGAGTCTGGGATTAAGGCCAACTGGGTGGAGCTGTGGCAACCAGGGAAATCCGGAAGTCTCCGCCACCGGGGCGGGCCCAGGTGAAAGGGGGCGTGGTCAGTCTGATGTGGCCTAAAGGACACCCTGGGATCTCAAAGTTTGCCACAGATGTTATCTGTAGGGGTGCAGCTGCCATTTGGGATGGGCCAAGCGCTGCCTTATGAATGGGCCTAACTGGCTCCCCATGGATAAACATCACCTAAAACCTGTTCCTTAAACACAGTATTGCCTGGACTTTTGGCTGAGTATTCCAGGCTCTTCACAAACCAGGTCATCACCAGGGTGGACCTAACTCAGAATCTGGGATCTCCAGCTGGTCTTTAGAGTCTGCTATGCTGTGCGCTCTCTCTCTTTCTCTCTCTCTCTCTCTCTCTCTCTCTCTCTCTCTCTCTCCCCCCCCCCTCTCTTTTTAGGTCTCTATATGTACTTGCTTTTTATATATAAATTTNTGCTTTTTATATATAAATTTTTTATTGATATTTATTGAGTGCTACATTTTTCTCTGCTCCCCTCCCTGCCTCTCCCTCCACCTTCAATCCTCCCCCAAAGTCCCCATGCTCCCAATTTACTCAGGAGATCTTGTCTTTTTATACTTTCCACTTCCCATGTAGATTAGATCTATGTAAGTCTCTCTTAGGGTCCTCATTGTTGTCTAAATTCTCTGGAATTGTGGTTTGTAGGCTGGCTTTCTTTGCTTTATGTTTAAAAACCACCTATGAGTGAATACACATGATAATTGTCTTTCTGTGTCTGTGTTTTCTAGCTCCATCCATTTTCCTGAAAAATTCAAGCTGTCATTATTTTGTTCTGTTGTGTAGTACTCCATTGTGTAAATGTACCACATTTTCCTTATCCATTTTTTGGTCAAGGGGCATTTAGGTTGTTTCTAGGTTCTGGCTATGACAAACAAAGCTGCTATGAACATGGTTGAGCACATGTCCTTGTGGCACGATTGAGCATCCTTTGGATGTATACTCAAAAGTGGTATTGCTGGGTCTTGAGGGAGGTTGTTTCCTAATTTTCTGAGAAAATGCCACACTGACATCCAAAGGGTTTATACCAGCTTGCATTCCCACCAGCAATGCAGAAGTGTTCTCTTTACTCCACAACCTCTTCAGAATAAGTTGTCATCAGTGATTTTGATCTTGGCCATTCTTACAGGTGTAAGATGGAATCTCCGAGTTGTTTTGATTTGCATTTCTCTGATGACTAAGGATGTTGAATATTTCCTTGAGTGTCTTTCAGCCATTTTAGATTCCTCTATTGAGAGTTCTCTGTTTAGGTCTGTACTCCATTTTTTTTATTGGATTATGTGATCTTTTGGTGTCCAATTTCTTGAGTTCTTTGTATATTTTGGAGATCAGACCTCTGTCTGATGTGGGATTAGTGAAGATCTTTTCCCATTCTGTAGGCTGTTGTTTTGTCTTGTTGACCAGCTGCTCTCTCTTAAGCTGTCTGTGAAACCTGTACTCAGCCTCCAGCACAGCCAAGCTGAATTTAGGAGCCCTTCTGTACCCATCCTCCGCACCACTTTCAGAACCCTCTCTCAAAGGGAGTCACTCAGTCTGGATCAGAGCTTCCAGGAGCCCGGCCATCTTCACTCACAAGTCACTTGCTCTCTCGTGGTGCACCCAAAGAAGGCAGGTGACCTGGGAATGGATAAAGAAAGGGAAACAAGCCCTGAGCTGCTTGGGATTGATCACAGCTGACTCCAGGGAGAACCATGCCTTCCAGAGCTTGTGCCTGTACTCATTTGAGAGAGCATCACACTCTACACCAGCTCTTAGAGAACAGCAGCTTAAATGGTAATTGGCTACTCTTACAGTTGAGATGTAGCCTCCTAAAAGCTAAAGTCCTAACCCTTGTTAGGGAGAATTGCTGCTACGTGGAAATACCCGTTACACATGAAATCAAGTCAGAATCAGGGCAGAATACAATAAACTCTAAATCCAATGACCAGTACTCTTTTAATAAAGGGGAGATTTGGGAATGGGAACAAGACTCAGTCAATAAAGTGCCTACTCTGTAGACATGAGTTCAGATTCTCAGCATTTAAGTAAATCACTGAGCACAAGCAGCCCCACTGTCTACAGCCCCACTATTGGGGTAAGCAGAGTCATGTAGGTCCCTGAAGCGCGGATGGCCTAGCGAAAATAAATAGTTTCTGGTTCATTGAGAGAACCTGTCTTTAAAAGGGAAAAAAGGTACAAGGGCAAGGAATGGCAGCACAGGCCTTTAATCCCGGCACTCCAGAGGCAGAATCAGGCCGATGTCTGTGAGTTCAGCGCCAGCCTGGTTTATATAGTGAGTTCCAGACCAGCAGGGCTATAGAGAGAGACCCTGTCTCAAAATAAATAAGGTGGGAAGGAAAACAACTGAATTTGACCTCTTACTTCACAGGCACACACACACACACACAAATAATTACACACCACACACTAAACACACACACACAGGTGCACGCATGAGGGAACTTTGTGCACAGAGAAGCAGAGGAAATAAGGAAAGGGAAGCCACATGAAGACTAAAGTTGGGACTGAGGTGCCGCTGCAAGCCAAGGAATGGACCCCGGTTCCAGGCTACCAGGGTCTTACATCAATAGCTGAGGCACCTAAATTGTGTGGCTTTGCAGCAATGGTCCTCTGAAAGGGCACAGCCACTTACCAGCTGCCAGGGACTGGTCCAGGCATGGGAGATTCCGGATGAGCAGGGTAGAGAAGAGGCCGTCTCTGATAGATGACACACGGTAAATGTGGCTAAGGAAAAGGACGGTGAAGCCTGCGGTGTGAGGCAGAGAAGAAGCGGGGAGAGGTCTGCTTAGGCCACAGAGACTTGGAAACGGCTCCACTCAGAGCCGGCATTTGAGTCGAGAACTAAATACCAAAAACAGGTAAACACGTACATCATCCAATTCCATCCTTTGAAAACCCTCGGTACCCTGTCAAATCGTCTCTCCTCTGGAACACGAAGGTGACAATCCCCTGTCGCGTGTGTGTCGTCAGTTTCGCACCCCACGTGGCTCTCTCTATTCCTTTGTGGTGTCCTCACAGGCACACCAACCAGGCTTCCTCAAGGACAGCATCTGCTAGTGACACATTTTCGTGCCTCAGTGCCAGGGTGTGTCAGCTTGGCTCTGGAGCCGGCTGGAGACGAGGGGTCTCTGTACTTGGAGGGTTAAACCAAAACTCAGGCAGTTCCGGACTCTGGGCCTATGGAAAAGATCCATGATTCTTGGCTGTTCCACCTCCTCGTGCTTACCTGGGGATGATTCTAAAGCTTGAGTCACCGGGTGGCTGTGCTGCCGAGTAAGCCCTGCCGTACGTAAAGCACGCTGGGCACGCTGGGCACGCTGCGCGCACGGCGCGGCTGAGGAAGTTGGCAGCGGAAACTTACTTTGGTCTGAATTGTTTGATTTTTAAACCAGAGCTGCATTTGTGTACATTTTTTTTTTACAATTTTTAAATTGGGTTGAAAATGCACAAAATGCAATCTTTACTCATTCAGTCATTTTCACACGTTCTGTTTGGGGTAGTCTCCTGCAGCTCCGTCTGGCCTTGAACTCTCCGCGTAGCTGAAGATGACCTTGAGTTCCTGACCTCAGCTTCTACCTCTGACGGCTAGCGCTGGATCACAGGAGTGCACCACCACAATTAGCTTATGCTGTGCTTCCGGGTGGGATGTGGGGGTGGTAGAGGAGAGGGGGACAGTGAGATCAAACCTAGGCTCGCGTGTGATCCTCAGTCTTTAGGACTTTACCTGGTGTACGGGGCACTCGTGCTGGGGTATAGAAATCAATGTACCCAGTCTCCACAATGCGTATCATCTTCTAAGCCTAAAAAATTATACCCATAAAAATAAATATAAAAAAAATTATACCCATTCCAGAAATGAACCTCATCCACCCCATTGCCCAGATCCTGGTGTCAACAGCTTTCTGTGTTTGGGACTCTCACTGGGCTAGGTGCTGTGTGCTAAGAGGAGCCACTGGGTGCTTTCTCTCTCTGTGACCGGCTCGTTTTGATTAGAGTTCGTTCGTACAGTACTGTGTGTCAAGAATTCCTTGATACCATGTTTTGTGTTGTGTGATGCGGTTTGACCAGTATAGTCCAGGCTGGCCTCAAACTCCTGGATTTGCGACACCTTCCCCACTCAGTTTCCTGAGTAGCTGGGACTCCAGCATGCCTGACTACACTCAACTCAACTTCCTGTTTGATTATTATGTTCTGGCCTTCCCTTTTTTAAAAAAAAAAATCTTGGGCTGGAGAGATGGCTCAGAGGTTAAGAGCATTGCCTGCTCTTCCAAAGGTCCTGAGTTCAATTCCCAGCAACCACATGGTGGCTCACAACCATCTGTAATGAGGTCTGGTGCCCTCTTCTGGCCTGCAGGCATACACACAGACAGAACACTGTATACATAATAAATAAATAAATGAATGAATGAATGAATGAATGAATGAATGAATAAATAAATAAATAAATAAATAAATAAATATTTTAAAAAATCTTCCTTTTAAATTTATTTTTATTTTATGGGCATTTGGTGTTTTGCCTGCATGTATGTCTGTGTGAGGGTGTTGAATCCTGGAGTTACAGACAGGTATAAGCTATCATGTGGGGGCTGGGAATTGAACCCAGGTCCCCTGGAAGAGCAGTCAGTTTTGCTCTTAACCACTGAGCCATCTCTCCAACCCCTGGCCTTCCTTTTTAAAGCTAATGCTCAGCTAATGTAAATGTGTTCTAGTATCTTCAGTTCTACTCTGTAGGGGCTAAAATAACTGTGAGGGTCTTCCTGTGGCTAGGAGCAAGCCTGACCTCTGCTAGCAGCCCTAGTGACCAGCACCCCAGTGACCAACAGAGAATCTCCATCTGCATCTGGGGTTCTCTCACACACAGGTGTTGAAGACAGGCCTTTCCATT